ACCTTCCTGGAGAATGATGCAATTTGAGAAAGCCAAAAACAGTCTATAGACGTCACTACCACAAACGTAATGATTGATTCCATTTTCCTTGTCTGATCACTGCAACAGCTATTACAACACGGCAACGCAAAATCAAACCCCAACACGTAATCAACATTAATCCAACCCGAGTGACCGCTTTAATGAAGAAAATCAACACAATACGCAAAAACAAATCATAGACCATAATAAATGCCAGTACGCCACGAAAACCCAACGATTCCATGAATCCACTAAGCAAAAACTCAAAAAAGATAGATTAAAAAACAAGAATCAAACAGGTTAGTATCACGGAAACGGAAGCTAACCGAGAGGAGAGACGGAGGAGGAGGAGGAGCAACGAGCAGCAAGAGGTGGCTGAATTGAGGTCGAAATGGAGGTGGGGAAGAGGAGAGACTTGACGGGTTTTGAAAGAAATGGAGTCTGCGTTTGACCAGTGGGTGATATGATCCGAATATCAATATTAAAGGCGACGATGCCACTGATTGTCATGTCGCTGCGATGGCGAATTTGGGCGCCCTTTGTGTTCGAGATTTGTTTATTGGCTTTTGGGGAATTGGCGTATTCGCCAACTGTGTGGACTCTGGATCAGGACCATCCTCCGCACGTGACTGTCCTTCGCTTTACTCTGCCATGTAACTAACTACTATGCTTCTCTTTGCTTTATTAAATGCAAAAATTTTCCAATGCAGAAGGGGTCGTTCCGGTGCGTCAACCCAACCCAACCCACTTTTCGATGGTTCAGTTGGTTCACTTGTAAGAATTCATGGACCGGCAAGCCTCAAGAACAAAGAGCTATCACTACGAGATAATATTGTGTGACACTTGTTCTAACTTAATGAACAAGTCCATGTAAAAATCGTATTTCGTAGGCAAGAGAAAATGTTTTATAAACGTGAAGGAGCAAAATCATTGAAAAAGTCAACTACATGAAAATGATTTATAAACGTGAACGACCAAAATCATTGAGAGATTATAATACTTGGTCGTTGATGACTACTTGGTCCCATATGGTGGGAGTAAACATGATTTTGCCGAACGGTCATATACACATAAACATATGACTAACAACGTTATACAACATGAAAACAAGTTACAATTAGTTCATTATATTTATGTTATAGATCAAGTCTATATAACATGAAAACGCAGGATGTCCATGATGTGTACGTGTGGGATGAACCAAATCCTCATTGAATTTGATTTTTCCATTAGAAGGAGCTCGCTATGTTCTGCAGCCCCGCCTGTGAATATTCCACCATACCTAGTTGAGCACCCGGTTGCTAATATACTGACCCGCAATAATATCTACGACTTCTCCCAATTCGAATCCAGTGAGTAGGAGATATTTTTTTATTTGATGTCAAATTGAAATATTTAAAAAAAAAAAAAATTGGGAGAGGAGAGATTTTTATTTTTTATTTTTTATTTTTTTGAAGTATATTTGATTGAGAACAAGTGGAGCGTAAGCAAATGGGATAATCTTGGCGAACCTTCGAATTTTGGTTCAATCGCTCTCTCCCTCCAGCCCGATTCTCGTCGTTTGTTTTTTTTGCTGCAAATCGTTCGATTGAAGCACCTACGAAGAGAATTCTCTTCAAATGATGTTCGCAATCAATCTTCGTTTTCCTAGCGTCCATGGCCAGATCCACAATTTCCAATTTCAATCTTGGCCGTCGCCGGCCCTTTCTAGGAGTCGGCTGCCATGCCAGATCACCTACTGCAGAAAGAAATTCAGCGACGCGGATCTCGCCTCCGATCTCGCTATGGAAGTGGCGAAAATCAACACCAATTTGATTCAGGGAGAGGAGGCGATGACGAAGAGCAGAGAAATTTTGTTCACAGAGCTCTGCGGATTTCTAGGGCTTAAATCGGAGGAGACGAAGAGATGCTGGAAGAAGATGGACGAGGAGGCGAAATTGACATTGATTAAAGAGTTTGTGTCCGAGTGGGGGTTCAATTTCCAACCATTGTCGCCTAGGTCTGCGAAGGAAATGGTGGAAGAATACGTTATTAATGGAGAAAATTCGCCTGCAATTTCTTCTGCTTCGTCGTTGATTTCTTCGTTGAAGAAATCGATTGGATTGTGACGAACTTTGCATTTGGATCTTCAATTCACGCGTCCAATGTAAGCCGTTCTCTGCATTTGTTTTTTCCAATGGATTTCGACTCTCAAATTCTGTAGAACCTTTTGATTTCTTCTTGCCAAAAAAGTTGAAATTTCTTCGAAGTAATCGAATCTACCAAACCCTAATTTACATGTTAGTGGGCCGAAGTTCGATTATACGACTAAGAACAAATATTTTATTTAATAGAGAGTTTCTCCAAAAGAAAAAGAAAATTATTCAATTGATCGATACTTTAGTAGACTTTACGAGACAAATTTCCTTCTCTATAACACGTTCCTTAATGTTTTCGTCAAATATATAGACAGTTATAAGATATATGATGATTAATTCCTTTTAGATGTTCTAACAAAAGAATGTGTCAAAATTTGTAGCTTCTTTTATTTTTGTTATCTATATAATAATATGTAACAACCTAAACCTAAACCTACCCCTAGTCGACATTGTCCACTTTGACCATCATGTAGTTATTCTCTTCATCCATGTGGAATATCATAATCCACCCCTAGAGAGTCAGTGTCTTCACCAGCACATCGCTAAGGTTTCCACACCCTCATAAAAAATTATTCGTTCCCCCTTGCTGATGTGGGGTCTCACACACTAAGGAGTGTATCAACGAGGACGTTGGGCCCCGAAGGGGGTGGATTGTGAGATCCCACATTGATTGGAGAGGCCCCAAAGGGGGTGGATTGTGAGATCGCAACAAACAACTCTGGTGGTCCCGAATAAAAAAATAAGAATTTTGAACATTAAAAGGTTTGTATCCATAGAACTTCAGGCTCCAAAAAAAAAAAAACTATTAATTCTGCAACAAAATTGCTCATATCTAGCCATGCAAGTGAAGCTATGGATAAGATACTAAGTCATGAATATTTTTGGAATTGGAATAGCTATTCCGCCCATTTCATCGAGATAAACAAGACGTATTCTATCATAACTTGTTTCCGCCAAGAAAAAAAACGCAGCGCCAATAAATCCATGAATCATTTGTAAAATACCTCCATTGAGTCCAGTATCGGTTATAGAACAAAACATATGAGAAACGGAGGAATAAGCGATTCTTTTTTTTAAATTGCGTTGACTCGAAAATGTTGAAGCTGCATAGATTAGGAGAGGAGAACTAAGCATTTTTTTTTACAGGGTGTGAAAATCTCTCCTTACATTTAAAAAACCTTGAGGGAAAGCGAAAAAGAGAAAAGAGAGTCCAGGACAATATCTGCTAGGAAGAAGCTTGGGCTATTATGGTGTCAATATAGATCAAAATTCTGGGTCCAAACCCTAACCGATAATAGATATTGAAATACTGTTATGGTCCAATTCTGATTAATAATAGATACCATCGGGGCTTTGCAATATTTGATTGTATAGAAGTTTTATGGAAATTCGCGAACTTAACTAACCACTCGAGTCCACGCATTCAAATTTCTAAGCAAATGTGAACACGAATGGGATTAATTTTTTATTAAATGTTGTGACAAAGCATGTGGGAATCCCCCAATGGATAAGTATGTCAAAAACCACGTTATTGTAAACTTTTTTCCAAATGGATTGCCGTGTTTGGCCGAACCAGCTGCCCACAGGATACACTAACTTTGCCGGTTTTCAACCCCCCTTGGCCCCTCATTGCCCCTCCGTTTCATACGTACAAAAACAGAGCCTCCCAATTCCAAGCCACAACCAAAGCTCATCAATGGCGCCCACTGCAGCAATGCTCACGCTCTCTCACCATCATAGCCACACCCATGATTCTTCTCAGCCCATCTCCGGCCACCCACCGTCCTCAACTTCCTCCGCCGTGCAATTCTCAGTCTGGAGACTGCTCCAAGCACTCTCAGGTGGCTTTGGCAAAGCCAGAGGCGAAATTCAGACGATCGGCAGTGGCGGTGACCGTTCGTCTAAAACGAAACTTAGTGTTTCAGAGGCATTTGAATATGGTAACTTTTGGGGTTGGTAAGAAGTTCATAACATGTAATTGAGTTAGTTTAATTTGTTTTTCTTTGAGTAATAAGATCATGTAATGGTGGGTTTATAAATAAAATCAACCACCTTTATTTACACAATTTAACTCGTAGTTAAATCATGATTCGCGGTTGGAATATGCTCTTCTCATCGTACCCCTACAGATGTCGAGTTAAAAGAGCTATAAACACATCGCTTCTTTCCCTTCTTTCATTTAGTAAAGATCAATTTTTTTTCGAGGTCAATGTGAAGTGATTCATATTTCTATTGGGAACAGGTGCACGATTGACATTTCTAAATATCACCAATTTGGTGCCCACCTATTGTTTAGGTGACATCAGCGACGTCTGACTAGGATTAGGAACTTCACGTAGAAATACTCATTTTTGTCAATCTCATGAACTAAACTTCATCTCGAAGATAAAAAATAAAAGTTAACAATCTTACTATAGTTTATCTTAGTATACGTTGACTTTCTTTAATTTTAATTTACTATTTATATAATATTATATTTTAAATTCTGTGAATAAACAAAATGGTGTCGTGGTGTAGTTGGTTATCACGTCAGTCTAACACACTGAAGGTCTCCGGTTCGAATCCGGGCGACGCCATTTATTTTCTTACTTTTTCTAATTTTCCCAACTATTATTTATATTATTAATTATAATATATTTTGTGCAATAAAATACATAATATAAATATATTTATCTCTTTAAAAAAAGGATTAAAAAAAAAAAAAAAAAAACAATGAACTGTCAATATAGATAAATTCTAAATTTTATTATCAAAATTATTTTTATTTCTATGAAAGAAAAAAGATAATAACGATGAAAATGGAGCAAGCTGTAAATGGGAATCGAATATTAATTATTAACTGTCTTTTACTGTCTAACTGGTTGGAGCTCATGCTAATGGTCTTCGCCATTGACGATGAGGTTGTTAGGCCTTTGCCCTAACAATTCCTTTGCTGCTCCTCTGCTCTCCTTCGTCTCCAATTTGCATTATCGTCACTGTCCTCGCCTCTTCCCCGTCTCTCGTGTTTCCAACCATTTCTGCGTATCAGGTTTTCTCCTCCACCATTGTATCTCTGTTACTGGTTTCGATTGTCGCTTTCTCAGCGTCTCCTCTCGTTCTTTAATCGTTTTTCATCTCATATTTGGCTGGTCTATAACTGTGACATCTTGCACTTGATTTGGCAACTTGGCTTTCTTTCTGTACTAGTTTGTTTTCCAGAATGTTAATGGAAAAACCATGGCATCGGTTTGAAATACTGATTTTATAATCTTTAATGTTCATTCTAAACTCTGGTTTATCTCTTTCTTTGTTATCATCGAATTTACCAGTTGACTGATGGGAGGAGTTGTTAGTTACATTTTTACCTCAGACGTTCATTTCCCTAAGTATTGCTTGGAACTAAATACTAAAACCTGTTTTATAATCATTTAATTTTTTGATTTGTTGTGTTCGAAAATTAAGCTTCCAAACATTAATTTCATCCATAATTTCTATTTTTGTTTTATTATCCACTTTTAGTTCTAAAAAATAAGTTAAATTTTGAAAAATTTAAAGATATATAATTTTCAAATGATTTTTTATTTATTTTAGAATTTGAATAAGGAGGTGAAAACTACAAGTGAAAAATTGGAAAGAACAAGCATAAATTTCGTAAACAAAAAATTAAAAACGGAATTGTTATCAAACTGCCTAATTGTATGTAGTAATTTTTTTTTATTGATTTGTTTGTGGAGTTTCTGATAGGGAAAAACTATTTGACTGTTGGAATTGAAATTGCAAGATGCGCATGAAGAAACATATTCGAATCAGATAGACTGAAATGTATTTCTTGAGAGTTATCGTTTGATCATCTGAATTTTATTTATTGTTTTCAAGTGTATTGGCAATGTATTTGCAACTCTTCTTTTGGATTCTTAATTATCTTTTCTTGAGTTATTTTATCCAGTAGAATGGAGTGGGAGAGATTCGTGGTTCAGAAATTCACATGGTTGTATTTTGATGATGCAGGGGGAAAAGGTTTGGTGTTAGCAGCGCAGTTCGGCTATAAGAGCGATAGTCAGAGTGAATTCCAACGGAAGGACTTGATGGCTGGAGAAAAGGAAATTCCAGGAATAAACAAAACCCCTTATCCACCTATTGAGCCTTACAGTACTGGTCTTTTGAAAGTGTCGGATCTTCATACTATTTACTGGGAGCAATCTGGGAATCCCGCCGGTCATGTAAGTTCAGAAAATAATTTTCTATTAGTTTCATATTTTTCTTCTGAAATTTCTGCCAATATATTATAATGAACTCTTGATTAGGAAAAAATATGTCTCCAGTAAATCCATTCTAATACGACCATCCCTCATTTATGGTGATATACACTCGAGGTAGTTACTAATGTTGCTTGGTTGTTGAGACTGTCGTGCAAACAAGTTGAACAAATTTTTATTACCTTTGGTTGGAAAGAAATATCTGAATGCATTTCATCCAGTGCAAGCTGCAAGTAACAATGAAAAATGTAGTTTAGGATTCTATAAAAATGGACATGCTCTTGCAGTGATACAGTGTTAAGTGACACGTTTTACAGATATCATTGCTCTAAAACTAACCATGTTATGTTCTTTTTGCGTGGCTTTACCGGAGATAGTAAATTGTTGAATATGTTCACTTCAGATTCATATTAATAATCATCTTATTTAACTGATCTTGCAGCCAGTGGTCTTTCTACATGGGGGACCAGGGGGAGGAACTGCTCCAGGCAATAGAAGATTCTTTGACCCAGATTTTTATAGAATTATTTTGTTTGATCAGGTTTTGTTCTCAATCTTTACTGTGTATCATTAGGATTGTCTATCTCCGAAGTTAGAAAAATGTCTCATTTCTTGCAGCGAGGTGCAGGGAAAAGTACCCCACATGCTTGCTTGGAGAATAATACCACGTGGGACCTCATTGCTGACATTGAGAAGCTAAGGGAACACCTGAAAATTCCAGAATGGCAGGTCACAATTTCTTGAACTACTCCTTGGTTTTCCACACTTCTGGATACAGTAATCACAGTTCCTGTTTTGAAGGTTCTGTAGTCATGACTCAGTATTCAACAATGTTTTTTTATTGAGTGTAAGACTCAGTAATATATGTGGTTGTGTAGGTCTTTGGAGGTTCCTGGGGTAGTACGTTGGCTCTTGCTTATAGTCAAACTCATCCTGAAAAGGTGCAACTGTTGCCAAGTTTACCGTTCTCCTCCAAGTGAAACTTCTTATATTTGAGAAACATGCCACTTTTATCAACATTCCTGAAGTTTTAATCATATGATTTTTCGTTTAATCCAAGGTTACGGGATTAGTTCTTAGAGGGATCTTTCTTCTGCGGAAAAAAGAAATTGATTGGTTTTATGAAGGTGGTGCAGCTGCTATATATCCAGATGGTAAACTTCTTCAGTTATTTTGTTCTCACAAAAGTATCCTATGACGTGATCTAAGAAATTTGTAATTTAAAAAAGCATTATCATTTGCAACATCTGTAACATATTAAATCAAATTTGATATTGGTCCGAGGGTATAGATTTTTAGGCACTTTCGAAATAAGTTGTCTGAAAACTGTTCTGTTCACTAGATTTTTTATTCGAATGCAGCTTGGGAGACTTTTAGAGATCTTATTCCCGAAAGTGAAAGAGGATGTTTTGTTGATGCTTATTGTAAGAGATTAAATTCAAGTGATATGGAAACCCAAGTAAGTACTATCAACTGATTTATTAGCTGCATGATTATTACTCTTTTCTCTTACCTAGTTGGCTGGTGACACTCATTTTCGGATGATGAGTTGTTTTCAACAAGCATTCACTCCAAAATGTTGATTCATTTTCCAGACTCTATAGCCTTCCTTGGAAATGAATTTCCTAACAATGCCAAAAAAGCTACTCTCTGTTGTCATGTAATATGACAGAATGATATGAGAGATTGCTCAATATTGTTTCATTCACTAAATTCATATGTATGACCTACGTAAAAAGCCCTAAACCTAATAATAGAGTGTAAGATTGTTACAGAGACATTTTTGTAGCAAGGCCTCCCGAAAATTAACTCCGCTCCAGGTTTTTGAGAAAATTTTGCAATTTCATATATATGCATGTCAGAGGCAGAAGCTCTGTGGACAGTCAAATTAATCAAGGCTCATTACAGTTGACTCTACGGAATGTCACTTGTAGTATGCAATGAAGATTTTGCTAAAAAGTGATGGCGGCACTTCATCTTTATGACTTATAAGTGCTGCATGCATAAGATTGAGTTTTGATGCCAGCAGATATTAAAATTTGAAAGTTCATTTTGTTTGTTGGTTTATCCATGTAACTATTTTCTGTTCTTTCTGTGACTATATTGCATTTGATGATAAAGTTAGAAGCTGTATCAATCATGATGGAAACTGTTAAAATATTGAGGATAGATCAATTGTCAGCCACTCTATCTGAACCTAATAAATATAAAAATTTAATCTTATAATATTATTTTTAGAATTACAATTTTACTACGATTGTTGAACTGTAGCATATGCTACTCAAGTATGCCATACATTAGAAGAGGAAATTACAGTTTTCTCGTACAATTTCTTTTAAATCATGAGTTAATGCTTCTATATTACCTGTTTGTTTGCTAAAACTCTCCACTAATTTGCTAGTATGCAGCTGCAAGAGCGTGGACCAAATGGGAAATGATGACTGCTCATCTTTTGCCAAATGAGGAAAATATTAAAAGAGGGGAAGATGATAAGTTTTCATTGGTAAATTGTTTTTTGCTTGTAAATTCATATTTGATATCTAGAAATCTCCTGAACTGCCAAAGCTGTGTGCTTGAAACGCTTGCAAGTTGTGTGTGCATGTATGCTTTATTTTCCCTACGATTGAGAACTGCGATGGAAGTATTTTGTTTCAGGAGGGCTCCGGCTTTTCTACCGGCTGTAAACCTGCCAAGGCCATTTAGCGAAGTTTTTCTTTTCAGTTCGTGTTTTCATGTCTTTCATTTGAGGACTTAGATTTTATGAGGCACTTGTTGTGTTGCTAGGAGCTTTTTGGAAAATTTTTGTGGGGAAGAAAACCATTAAATAAGTTCTTGTTTGGTGAGGATTTTCCTTTGTACTGTCCCTGCTAATTTTCAAGGTCAAGTGAGAGAGTAATTCTTTTTCATTGATTTACAACAGATACAAGGTCTACTTACGTAGAAGAAAGATCTAATATATAAAAGGAAAAAAACTTGTACACACAATCACACATTGAATAGACCTAATAAATATGATAGATATATTATAGGAATAAACTAACAGTCCCAATCTTTTTTTGTTGTTTGGGAATTTGCATGCTCATTACGTGAGTAAACTTTGTAACTTCTAACCTATGTCTGGAAAGATGAGATGGTACGGGTATAAAAATTTTGATGTCGTTTTTTGTTATATTCTACAATTATTCTTCAGTTATTTCGTGGAGTTCTTCAACTTGAGTGATGTTATAATTCTGCTTGTAATGCAACCCATAATTTTGTTTTTCTTTTACCTTTTGGTTTGACCCAGGCATTTGCAAGGATCGAAAACCATTACTTCGTAAATAAGGGGTTTTTCCCTTCTGATTCCTTTCTGCTAGATAATATTGACAAGATACGACATATCAATGCTGTAATTGTTCAGGTACATTTGCCTATCCTATCCAACTTACCAATGCTATAATTGTACAGGTAAATTTGATTGGCTTGGGTACCTCCGTTTCATATTTTGGTTTATTGTATGGGTTATTCAATCTTTTATTTTACTAATGAAAGGTTTTTTGTTTCCTAACAAAGGAAAAAAGTTCGAGAATTTGAGGCAATCGTTTTAATCTTTTGAGTTTAACAGCGCTACGTAGTGCATGAAACAGAGGGATTCTATCATGCCTTTCCATTCCCTCGTTAACGCTATAAATATTAAGCTTCCTTCATATCTTTTGTTATGGTTGTCAATTTGTTTCGTCTTTCCTCCTTTTGTTTCCATGTCATATAATCAAGTTAATAATACCATTATTATACTTAAGTTTTGTATCATTGATCACACCAGATGAGAATCAAGTAGAATCCGAGTTTGATAACAAGATATGAAACTACATCTTATCTTCATTTTGCAGGGAAGATATGACGTTTGCTGCCCAATGATGTCGGCTTGGGATCTTCATAAAGTGTGGCCCGAAGCTGAATTAAAGGTAAAAGAAACTGCTGCGTTCTATTTCTCTGTCTAAAATAGGTTCCTATTTCCTAACAGTTCCCTTTCATTGGGATAGAATGCGAATATATCAACTGAATGTTTCATGTTTTACCCTATGCACTCCAAATGTACGTGGCTTTGAAGAAGGTAGAGAGGTCTTGACATGAGAATTAGCCACTAAATATCAACATGGAACTAGACATTTACGGCATGATATTGGAACTATTATTTAACTTGATCTCCATACTTTTGAGTTGTCATTTCACTCTGCATCAAGGACGAAGAGGGAAATTTGGATTTATGTATTTTTCATTATAGACAACATTTCAATATAACATGGATGTTGCCTGTATTCTAACAGCCCCCAAACTGATTGTCTCTTGGTTAAGAAATAATTTCCTAGAAGATATGAAATTAGTGTACATTGGTTGGAGAGAGGAACGAAACATTGCTCATAAGGGTGTGGAAACCTCTCCCTAGTAGGACATGTTTTAAAACCTTGAGAGGAAGCCCAAAGAAGACAATATCTGCTAGTCGTGGGATTGGGCTGTTACAAATGGTATCAGGGCCAGATATTGAGCGGTGTGCCAGTGAGGCCGTTGGGCCCCAAAGGGGGGTGGATTGTGAGATACCACATCGGTTGGAGAAGGGAACGAAACATTGCTTATAAGGTTGTGGAAACCTCTCTCTAACAAACACGTTTTAAAATCTTAAGGGAAAGTCTAAAGATGACAATATGTGTTAACGGTGGGCTTGAGTTGTTATCATTAGTTTCAAAAGCGGGGAGGAAAAGTATATACAAAAAAATTATTCCAGTTGATCAAAGAAGAGTTCACAAGTATAGGCTTATATTCTTACTTTCAATTCAAATGATTAGAGAAACAAAGGGCTTTAGTTTAGGTAGCTACAGGACCTTCTTGAAGCGAACACTGTGGAGCCTATTTACTATGCATGTTCCTGTGCATATATATATATAAATCTATGATTAGAAAGTAGTTGCTGAATCTCATTACCTCTCTACGCAGATCATTCCTGACGCAGGTCATTCTGCTAATGAGCCTGGAGTAGCTGCTGAGCTCGTGGCTGGGAACGAGAAGCTGAAGAACATCCTGCAGAAGAATGGACCATAACGAGACTCCCCCAAGTATATTTCTCACAATTTTACTCATCAAATAAGTAATCAATGTCTGAAATAATAGATTGGGGATGCCAAATTATTGTGTATTGGCATGTGTTAATGCTTGAACATTGGTCATTTCTGAATGCCAAAAATTTGAGAACTTCCAAGGAGATTATAGTGTTAATCCCTATGCGTTGAATTTCCAAACGGTCCATCATTCTTAATGTTATTTTATTGGTTCTTTTTGGTCACTTTATTGTCTTTTGCCTTCCATTAGATATAAATTTGAACTTCTAGATTTTTTTGCTTTGTCGACGGTTGCTCTCGTTCTAGCTTTTACCCACTTTTGCTCACCGTTCTCACACTCTCTCACATGAAAAAGTGAACAGTAGTCTTACTGCTTCGCTCCCTTGTAATTTCCTCTCGCATTCGTTAACGAATTGTGGAGCTCGTGGTAGACTTTTCACGAGCTCTACGAAGTGGCCGACCTTACTTCCAAGGGTTATTCTCATCTTCAAGCAAAGAAATGACATATAATCAGAAGGACTCCTTTTTAAGATCAATATCTTTAATAAGTGTTTCATCTTGCTTCATCAAGCTTTATCAACTTCCTCTACACTTGATTTGCTCAAATAACTCCACTCCTTGTTGCCGAAGGAATAAGATAGAGGCGAGAGTCGAGGAAGGGTACATTAGGAACAAAGCAGGAGGGGTGTTTAGAGTCGACCAATTTTGTGTCTATTATTTAGTTTAAATATTATATATTAAAATTGAGTTATATAATTCAATGTTCGTAAGTAAATAAATAAATGTTTATAAATTAATATTCTATTTTTATTAAAAATAAAACTTTGAATAAATAAGAAGATTGAGTTGATAATTTAATAAATATTCGGGTTAACATTCGACACGGTACTCGTAATTTTACCCCAAAAAATCAAAACATTACTTTTTAGTCTAAATTACGGAAATACCCTCATCTGTGACCGAGACACCTATCCATCAGCCTGGATGTATGATGTATGATGTATGTATGATGTGACTTACTAGACCTCAATCTTCGCCGGAACGCCGAGGCGCGCGCATGGCGGCGCGATTGACTCTCTCTCTCTCTCTCTCTCTCTCTGCTGCCTCCATTTTCAGCTCTCTGAAGCTCCGATCTGCATGTTCCGCTTCAATTTCTAGGTTTGTATGATGTTTAGATGTGTATTTTTGTATTTGCATATCGATTCAGGCAATGCATTGCATGTAGGCTCTCATCTCTCTCTCTCTCTCTCTCTCTCTTTTTTTCCTGTTCTTCGCTAGAACCCTAATTTATATAATTCAAGCTCGATTTAGATTTTAGAATCATGTTCGGAAGCTGCTTGGTGGTTCGTAAGTTCCGTTTCTTTTAGTTTTGTAGCCGCGTTGATCATAGCTCAATTAGAAGAAATCATAATAGGAAGAATCAACTCTGTTTTAGCATGTTGCGAACGAAAGAACTTCTGTTTACATTTGAGAGCATTACTTGTTGGCTAATCTTTAAGCTCAGGTACTTCTACATGCTTGTACGTTCTCGTTTTCCTTGCAGAAACTCCATGTTTATTTTCAATATTCTGTACATTTGATCTGTTAGCTAGCTGGAGATTTCTGTTTTTGCTCTAATATGCTTTCTTGTAATCTTTTTTCCCCCTAATTTGATCAAGTTAAGTAAAACCATGTTTTGAAAATGGCTCTTTCAGACCATTTGCCTGCTTATGAGAGCTGATTTGTGAACATCCCATGAGTTTAATAAACGTTGCGTGGAAACAATGCCTTGAATGACTTCATTGCACTAATGGAAAGGGAAACTTCAATGAATTGGTTCTTATGCTGAGCAAGTGGTTCACATGGAGGATCATACATTTGTTGTAGGTCAAGAGTTTCCTGATGTCAAGGCATTGCGAAATGCCATTAAAGAAGCTGCTATAGCTCAGCACTTCGAGCTACGAATTATTAAGAGTGACTTGATACGTTATTTTGCAAAATGTGCTGAAGAGGGTTGTCCATGGCGAATTCGTGCTGTTAAGCTTCCTAATTCTCCAATCTTCACAATTAGAAGCCTTGAAGGGGCACATACCTGTGGACGAAACGCCCAAAATGGACACCATCAAGCCTCCATAGATTGGATAGTGAGTTTCATAGAGGAACGGTTGCGGAACAACATTAATTACAAACCGAAGGATATATTGCACGATATCCATAAGCAATATGGCATCACTATACCTTATAAGCAGGCCTGGCGTGCGAAGGAACGAGGTCTTGCCACAATCTTTGGTTCTTCTGAAGAAGGTTATGGTCTTCTTCCATTGTACTGTGAACAAATAAGGAAAGCCAATCCTGGGAGTGTTGCAGAAGTGTTCACTACTGGTTCGGTTAACCACTTTCAGAGACTCTTCGTTTCGTTTTATGCATCGATATATGGGTTTCTTAATGGTTGCTTCCCTGTGATTAGTCTTGGTGGAATCCAGCTTAAAAGCAAATACTTAGGTACTTTACTATCAGCTACTTCTTATGATGCTGATGGTGGGATGTTTCCACTTGCTTTTGGTGTAGTTGATGCTGAAAATGAGGAAAGCTGGATTTGGTTTTTGTCGGAGTTACATAAGGCGCTTGAGATGAATGCTCGGAACGAACTGCACCTCACATTTTTATCAAATGGTCAAAAGGGAATTTTAGATGCCTTGAGAAGGAAATTCCCAAATTCTTCATATGCATTATGCATGCGCTACTTGAGTGAAAGTATTGGAAAAGAGTTCAAAAACTCAAGGCTTGTTCATCTTTTGTGGAAAGCGGCGTATGCTACAACTATAATTGCTTTCAAAGAGAGAATGTCTGAGATAGAAGAGATTTCACCTGAAGCTGCAAAGTGGGTACAACAATTTCCTCCATCTCATTGGGCATTGGTTTATTTTGAAGGAAACCGATATGGTCATCTTTCTTCAAATCTAGAGGAGTTCGCTAAATGGATTCTCGAGGCACGTGAGCTCCCAATCATCCAGGTGATCGAGCGGATTCATAGTAAACTAATGGTTGAGTTTGAAGAGCGGCGTGCTAGGAGTTCATCATGGTTTTCTTTCCTGACTCCATCAGCTGAGAAACGAATAGTGGAAGCAATTACCATTGCATCGTCGTATCAAGTTCTTCGATCAGATGAGGTAGAGTTCGAGGTTTTATCGGCTGAAAGATCATATATAGTTAATATTGGAACGCGATGTTGCTCGTGTCTTGAGTGGCAGCTTTACGGAATACCTTGCTCTCATGCTGTTGCAGCCATTGCCTCATGTAGGAAAGATGTCTATGCCTTTACAGAGAAGTGTTTTATGGTTTCTGGTTACAGGGAAGCATATGCAAAAGGTATATACCCGATTCCCAGAAGACTTGAATGGAAAAATCTCGACGAAACTCTGATGGATGATGATACACAGATTGTGCGACCACCCAAGTTTCGTCGACCACCAGGACGACCCGAAAAAAAGAGAATTTGTGTAGAGGAACTGAATCGAGAAAAACATACCGTGCATTGCAGTCGATGTAATCAAACAGGACACTACAAGACTACCTGCAAGGCAGAGCTCATGAAGGGCATTGAACAGTTCTAGAAATCTATTTCGTACATGCCTCTCATTTTGTCAAGTGTACAATATTTATTTTCTGGGTAGCAGTTGGCTTTGGTTCTTAGATATGTGTAGAATAGGGAAAATCCCCAATCTCTGATGTATATGTAGACTGACTGTCTCTGTGAGGATGATTAAGTATGCTGCAATATCAGGGGATTCAAGTCACTAGTTGTACCTTCCTTTGTTCGCTTTATACCGATGGGTTCTTTTTCCCGAATTTTACTCTTAGCAACTCCTATGTTCGAAGCAAAATGTTGTCGAATTAGACCACGAATTAAAAATGTCTGGAAAAGCTCTATTGCGATTTCGCGAGGCAATCCACATCGATGTAATGAAAGTGAGGGACCTACAACAATCACAGAACGTCCTGAATAATCGACCCGTTTGCCAAGCAGAGTTTCCCGAAATCTTCCCTCTTTGCCTTCAATTACATCGGAAAACGACTTGTAAACCTTATTATGGCCATCCCTCATTGGTTGTCCGCGGATTCCATTATCAAGAAGTGTATCCACGGCTTCTTGTACCAATTTCTCCTGACACATTACTAATTCTCCTGGCGTAGATCTACTTGTTGTTAATAGATCAATAAGAGTATTGTTCCGATAGATAACTCTTCTATAGAGTTCATTAATATCCGAGCTCATTAGTTTACCCCCATCTATCTGAATGATCGGTCTCAACTCGGGAGGAAGAACAGGTAATAGACATAAAACCATCCATTCGGNGTCTGGAAAAGCTCTATTGCGATTTCGCGAGGCAATCCACATCGATGTAATGAAAGTGAGGGACCTACAACAATCACAGAACGTCCTAAATAATCGACCCGTTTGCCAAGAAGAGTTTCCCGAAATCTTCCCTCTCACGATTCACTTTGATCGTTATGGACTGGTACCAAGATCTAGTCCTAAACAGGCAGACTTAATTTTAACAGCGGTAGGGTAACAATGAAAATGACTCCTCCTTTAGTAAGATTATAGGAGTAAATGCCTGAATCAAAATATGTTATTGTTGGGAATATGTACAATTATAGGAGGGATATTCAGTATCGATTCTTAGTGCTGTTTGGGGAGTGTAAAAATTTCCATTTTCTCTATTCATTGATCCTGTCTATATATGGGGAACTCGCAAAGATTGGTCTACAAGATAATAATATTTCTCAAATTATTTGATACGAGAAATAATTACAAAAACGAAAAATTTAGAGTTTTTGTATCTTCAATGTTCTTATAAATGATAGATGTTATTTGAATTAATCCCATAGAACTTTAATGCTACAATTCAAAATAAGTATCTCTTTAATTGTTATCATATTCAAAATAACTACTTGAAAGAAAATTGCTTAGATGTTCATGACCCCAGTACTTCATACAGGCCTCACATTTTAAATGAAATTGAAATGTCAAAAACAAGAACGCAGAATGATAAGAGTTCAAGAACAGAAGGATGATTACCTGTAAACTTCAATCTTTCATTCATTCCCCAGCATCACCTTTTCCCTTCTTTCTTTCACTTGTATAGCTGCTTGAATCTTCTGCAGGCTTCCAAAACATTTTCCCTGTGACCAAAAGCACTTACCCTGATAAATCCTTCACCTCCGGGTCCGAAACCACTTCCGGGGGTTGTCACGACGTGTGTTTTCTCCAGCATCTCAGCAAATACATCCCACGAACTCCGGCCGGGGAAACTAACCCACACGTACGGTGCATTCTTCCCTCCATACACGTTATATCCAAGCGACTTAAATGTGTCCATTATGATACTAGTATTTTCTTTGTAAAACCCGATAACCCCACGCATAGCCTGCAAGTAGAAATTCGATCAATTTCATGATTTCCAGGGTAATTTGTTGTGCATACATCAAATATGAATTGTACTGTGTCTAATAAAATTGTTCCAAATTGTTGTTGATGATATCGCTTTGTGTTTGTTGAGCTCAACATGAGCAAAAGGACAACTTGGAAAATATAATTAGGGGTATATAAGGTTCCAGTTGAATACTTGGCGAAATTCGGCACATCTTAACTAAACCTTGAAGTTACTTGTCTTATGTTTTGCAAGGCTCAAAGAAGGTGCTCTTGAATTCTCCCTTTATCAAGTGCAAATTTTTGTGACATGCTAGTTTCTTTGTAAATTTGTGGAGCATTTGGTGTGAGAGGATGTATGGATTGGGGTGAATGATTTGGTAGGTTAGTTGTGATGTCCTACATTGGCTGGGGAGGAGAACAAATCACTTAAGGGTGTGGAAACCTTCCCCTAGCAGACACGTTTTAAAGCCTTGAGGGAAAGCCCAAAAGGGAGAGGACAATATCTGGCTTAGGTCGATACATTAGTATTAGACTTTCATTTCTCTTAATGAAAGTATAGTTTTATTATATATATTTAAATCTATTTTAAGAAAATTAAACATGGTAGAAGGAGCAGAAGAAACTATAACTAGCAGACCAACCTCAAGGCCTTCTGGTGAAAGACAAGCCAGGCCTCCAGCTTGAGCAATGTTAGATGCACCGTTGAAGCAAGTAGAAACAATGCGGTTGAAATCTTTAGCAACTGGAAATCCATCAGAAAACAAGAGTTCCTTAGGAACAACAGTCCAACCAAGACGAACTCCAGTAAATCCAGCGTATTTGCTAAATGATGATGTCTCAATTGCAACCTGCACAATGGAAAAATAGACCATGAAATGAAAAATAGGGCATGAATTGGCAATAAATAACGAACAGATCAGCCAATTAAACAACCAAATTTCAATCTTAACATTTAACGAAAATTATAAGCTAAATGTGAGATCCAACGTCGGTTGGAAAGGGGAACGAAGCATTCCTTATAAAGATGTGGAAACCTCTTCCTAATAGACGCGTTTTAAAACCGTGAAGCTGACGGCGATACGTAATGGGCCAAAGTAGACAATATCTACTAGTGGTGGGCTTGGGCTGTTACAAATGGTATCAGAGCCAAACACCGGACAGTGTGTCAGCGAGGACGCTGAGCCCCCAAGGGGGGTGGATTGTGAGATCCCATATCGGTTGAAGAGGGGAACAAAGTAATCCTGATTTGAAAACCTCTTCCTAGCAGACGCGTTTTAAAACCATGAGGCTAATGACAATACGTAACGGACCAAAGCAGATAACATCTGCTAGCGGTGGCATTGGGCTGTTACACAAAATCTCGTATGATACATAACTGATTTCCTACTCTATCATCATCCCCGTTCCCTACTAATGCTTCGGACATTAATGTTCCCATTTCGGGGAGATTCTAGCAAAAGTATCTTGAGAGAAAAGCCTCTGCCACAGCTATTCATACATTTAGCTCATGACCTAGTGCGTCTACATGTTCTCATCAAGCATTGTGAATTTACTCCAGCCTGCAGATTCGTGGATAGTTGGATCCAATAACATTTTGATTTTTAAGAATAGTAAAGCAATTTCATATTTAGCAAGAGAATTGCCGTTATTTGATTTTTCTTGCATTAAATAACACATGTACGCAAGCTCTTATTAGGCTTTCTGAATGATAAAATTGGAATCTAATGATGAGACCAGACCGTCACAAGACATAAACAAGAGAACCCAAGCAATATAGTGGAGCTATACATAACAATAGGGTAACCAGAGATGCATATTTGAACTTTGAAATATTAAAACCTACGACACAAATGTAATGCAATGGAATTAGAATAAAATGACCAAAAAATGTAAATCTAATAATATCAAGTTCAGACATCGAAAAAGTATTATAATGAAATTTACCTCCTTTGCTCCAGGAATTTCGAAGATAGATTTTGGATTATCGTCTGATATATACATTGCATATGCAGAATCATAGACTATAATTGACCCGTTCATTTTAGCAAACTCCACCAGTTGGGTCAACTGTTCCCTAGTTGCAGAAGAGCCGGTAGGATTGTTTGGTGAACAGAAAAATATGATATCTGTCCGGGAAACCTTGGATAAGTCAGGGAAAAATCCATTTTCTGGAGTACACCTTATGTATTCAATATTGCCATACTTTTCAACATCCTTTTGGTACAGTCCAGTCTGCCCCAAGATGACACTCGAGTCCACATAAGCCTACATTTCCACAAATTCATGATTAGAATTCAAATCGGCAGAGGTTGGTATGAAGTTTTACAGCCTAAACAACGCATGCCTTTGGATGTTACCACATGATTACCTAGATAACATAATCCAAAAAGAGAGAGAATGGAGTAACAAAAGTACTGGTCTCAAATATATTATCTAAATTCTTTTTTTTTCAAAAAAAAAAAAAGCAACAACAAAATTAAAGTATTATTTATTGTTTGAGCTGAAGTGAACTTATCCGTGAGCTAAAGCGACTAAACCTACAAGGGAAGTTACATCTAATGGTGAAAATGCAAATACGGCTTGCATAACAGTAAAGATGAGACCGCTAAATGCTTGTCAAAAGAAGAGCTCGATATTTTTAAAATGATCATTTAACTATGTATCATATATAGGTGGATTGGAAAACTTTATAAGTGCACTAGTTAAACATCTAAATTTTTCAATAACGTGAAGAGCAACTCACCGGGTATGATGGGTCTTGCACTGCCATCGACACATTGGATCCAAAAACAAGCTGCCAAAAGTGGGAAGAGAAGTTCACTAGTAACAAGATGACAGGCATAAATGATTGCCAAAGGTGTTTTATATATTTAACTAAGTTGAATGACTAACATAAAAAAAATTATATAAAAAAGTTTGCCATACCTGAAGACGTGTTATGTCACATTTTGCACCATCAGAAACAAAGATATCTTCTTCTCCTATGCCAAGGTCGCTATAAAATGTTTTGCTAATTAAAGCTCGCACTGGCTATACAAATCAACAAGTAAATTAGAAATTTCAATCATGGGAAGATATGACCCAAGAAAAGTCAAATCATCAAGTCAATTCGAAAATGATGTGGGACATTGTTAACACAATAAGGCAGCTATTACTACTATACTTCACTAAGTATGAACAAGTTACTGACAGCACTTAATTTGAAATTAAACAAGCATTAAGGTGGCAAAAATTTCTGAAAGAAATCATTGCCAGAGAGCACGGCTTGATGAAAGAGGCATGCCACATCGAGAATAACATTGCCGGACCTAAACCAAAACAAAGTGAGCAAAAGAGTGGCTTGGATTTTCTCACTATTTATACCCAAAA